AAAAAAACTTACAGGTCACATTGGACGGAGTGATTTATATTTGTAAAACACATATACATTTACATACAAATACATAAATACTAATACATTCCGTACTAATAGAATATTAATGTATAATTATACATTTTATATGTGGTTTATTGCAGTTTAACTCATTTTCATAAAACCATTAACAGAAACAACTAATTCCAGGGAGCAGAGTCATTGAGAAAATAATATTTGCTCAGTAAAAACACTCCTTTATGGAACCCCCAGTTTCATCAGGCTCATGAAGGCATGCCACAGGTTGAGACCCTGCCTAATATTTCAGGGAGGACCACACATTGATAGCTGTCTGCGGCTGTTTATTCATTATATGTGCAACCCCCCATATCCTGAGGCCATCACCCCTCGCTCCACAACCTGAGAATGAACCAAGCCATGGTGACAATAGACCCACTTAACATGGACACAGAAGTTTTGTATAATTTAGCCTCCTTGAAAGGAGGATCAGCCTATCCGGGAACATGCAACATCCACAACCCAACACATACATGTACAAGTACAAGCTTTGGTGCCTTGTAACATACCAGCATGTCTGGGAACAATGATGACGGTAATTTCATGTAATATTATACAGGGCTTTGGACTGACGGATTTTTGGCACAACCTAAGCAACCAAAGAGAAACACGAGATTTGGAACTTTGGATGTCAGGAGTCTGTGGAAGGTCCCATCTAATGGGCTTTTGTAAACATGGCAGTAATGTTTTGTATATACCTCTCATAAAATGTGACTAGTTGAGTGAAAGGACACTCAAAGAGTCAGTTTGATGTGTGTTTATTTCTGCTCACAGCATGGGGGCCTGGGGGAAATGGGTGTACGCGAGGAAAGGGAATGAAATATAATGTAGGAGAAGAATAAATGAAAGGGAGAAAGGGGCCTGAGGGATTAAGGTATGAAATAAATGGTGTTTCCTAGAAAACAAATTTGTGCATGGGCTAGGAACTCATGATCAGAATCTAGAGATCCTTTCGTATTTTATCCCAGCCCGCCCAGAAGAATGCCGAAATAGCACCATGAAATACATAATGGTCATTATACTGCACACACTTCCCAAATAACCACATTAATATTAGATAATTAAATATAATGGCAGATAAAGGTAAAGCTAGGCCGGTCACGGTAGCCGAGTGGTCTAAGGCGTGCACTGTCTTCGCTCGCTCGGAAGCCGGGATCATGGGTTCGAATCCCACTCAGAGCCTGGATGTTTGTGTGCGTTTTTCTGTGTTTGTGTACAGGTAGAGGCCTTGCGACGAGCTGATCACCCGCCCAAGGAGTCCTACCATATGTCTAAGATCGAGAAAAACCGAAGTGAACAGAGAAGTTCTTGGAGGTAGGCCTAGGCCCACTGGGTCTGTAGTGCCAAGGGGGGAGGGAAGGGTAAAGCTATCCTTGTAACAGGTCGTGAAGGCCCGTAGGGTTGTAAGATGTAGGGGCTCCCATATTTTCTAGAAAACTGGCTCACAGATGGTGGTGAGTTTGTCAGCCTTACGCGCTGGCCGCCCCTTACTCCCTCCATCAGGAAGATCCCTGGTACTCATTTCTGTTAGAGGCTGAGTCGACCCCAGTGCCATAGTGCGGCTGGAAGGATTCGAACCCACGACCTTCCGGCTTGTAACATAGTGCCTCAACCAATTACGCTACCGCGTGCCCCCTTGAATATAATGGCAACTTCCAAAATTAGATTTACGTCAGATTATTGACTTGGGAAGATTCAGGGCCTTGTCATTATTAAGATTAGATCACCTGTGCGTCGGTTGGACCGTGGCAGGATAATTTTCATGTTATTACTTACGTTTTACAAATTATACCAACTACAGAATCAGTCTACATCGGCGTCTTTGTTACCCCAGTCATGTACTAACGGTCAGTGGGGCACTACAGATCACAAAAAGAACCGACAGCAAAATGTAATGGAGCGTGCGGTAAGACTCCCAAGATGTGAAGGAGAAACGAATTTGCGCGGTGCGGAAATCCCCGACCACAACGAATAGTCAACCGCGGCAGGTGACGAGAGAGAGAAATAACATTTCGGCAAAAGTCAAACAAAGCACAGATATGCAATTACGTATCAAGAATGATAAATGACTTATAATCATGCATGACACCACTCCAGCTGAAAACTGTTCAAAAGAACACCATTGAATTTCAAGAAGTTCTAAACAACTCCCTTCTGTTAATTGTAATTTAAAAAGTGTCGCTGTTGTTACAAAGTATGTCACCTGTTCAGCACAAACAAAGAATCGCCGTGATAGCTCGACTGGCCAAATTCGAGCGAGTGTAGTGTTTATTTATTTTGTGCTATTGTAAAGTAAGAGATCAGTTTATCCCAAGGCTTACTCAAGCACCACGCCATGAAGGCGTGTAGGGGAGTGGAAGTATAACTCCACCATTCTTGATCTCGGCATTAGAAGGAGGTGAATGGTCAGTCTGACGCCCCTGCTGCTTTACCCTCGGGGAAAAACCTTCAGTAGCCGTTGGGTGGGCCCCAGAGTCGGACTGGAGGTTAAGGAGAAGAGACAAACATTTTGCCCCTGCCGGGAACATAATCAGCAGAACACACAGTCTACTCAGGCAATAAACAATCGGAAAGGGATCCTATCAAAATAGACGTGTATGGAGACTACTGGCTGTTCTAGACTTCTGTCCAATCTGGATACGTGACGGTAGCCTCAGTGGTAGCTGAGCCATGCCATTCAGCCATACAGTAATATAACATATCATTATGATCTCAAGAATGTTAAGTTACTGAGTTTGTATAGCAGATATATAAATTGGGCCCTTTCCAAAGTATCTTGAAAATGAAATTTTATAAACGCAAACACTACGAAATAATTATGGTCTCTGAGATCTATTTTCTGCCATTAAAGTAAAGGTATTTAAGTTGTTTTCTTCATATGAAGTGTGCTGCACCATAATGAGTATATGTGAACTGCAAGATACACCAAGTTAGACTTGAAAGGATTCTGACGATGGTGTATACTGTACTTCTTTTGTTATGGACTTCATCCATCGTCTGGTATGTAAAAGACAAAAGACCACGTCGTTTCGTAGACTGGATCTGTCTCCGTCTTCAGGTGGGTGGGGAAGACCTGAACACGGAGACAGATCTAGTCTCCGAAACGTCG